CAATAATAGCAGTATGTTATGCATCAATAGCAGCAACAGCTTTTCCAGGTTCTGCAGTCATCTGAATGAAATTATAGACATTCAGCACACTCCATTAAAAAAACAAAAACAAAAGAAAAATAACCAGAAAACAGCAAAGTTCTGTTGCTGTTGTGGTACCTGGCACCATTTTTTTTTATTAGCATCTTAATCATCATCTGGAGAAAGAACATTCTAGAGTAACATCATTAAAAATAGCTCTGATAAAGTACGGTCCCTACTACATATCATAAAGCAGGTACAAGATATTTTACATTCACAGAGGTATGATACAGTACCGTCCTACATCGATAATACTAGAATCAGTTTTGCTTTGAAATTTGCTTTGTCTGAAAATAAGATTGCTACCCCTGCTTTTTTTCTGGGCTCCTGTCACATGGAGAATTGTTTTTCATCCTTTCACTTTCAGTCTATGGGAGCAATTCTTTTAAAACAAAATTCTGACTATAAAACAGTCACATTGCTGGGATTAAGCTGTTCTCTTTCTTTTCTCTAAATAGTTAACACAGATTATGCGAACTGGACAAAACACTTGGGAAAGTAAAAATATCCTTGCTGTTTCATTTGCTCCACTTGTGCAGCCAAGTAAGAATGATAATGGCAAGCCAGATTCTGTGGGCCTCCGTAAGTAGATCTTTGAGCTTTCTTATTGAATTGTCACTTACAGTATTCAACTCATATGCTTGGAATTTAATAGACTGTGTAATTATGAGCAATTAAGTAAATATGTAGCAATACATCCAGGGCATTTATTAACCATTTTTTAAAATGAAACCCTTTCTTGGTACAGGGTACTGCTAGTTGTTGTCATGGGAACATGAAAAGAAGGGGCAAGTCAAATTAAAAATGAATTTATTAATTGTAATTTGTAATGTGATAGAAAGCGATTGTGAGGAAGCTCAAGGTAATAAGGAAAGTTTTTGTGGGAGGCAGCATCTGATTTATAACTGAAATATTATAAAAGAATTTGTCATGTCAAGATTTTGCATATAGAAAGTGAATTCAAAAGGCTGAAGGCTAAAACAAAGAGGATCATTGTTACTCAGACTGGGAATAAGATCCAGAGATGAGATGTTCATTGGCTGGCTGTGAAAGATGTCTTATCATTAGGTAAAAAAGGGAAGCAGGCCAGTTATAAATCTTTTCTTATACCTAAGGACAGAGCTGATACTGCTATAGATAGATTGAAAACAGGAAAAAGTACTAACAGTGAGGAGAGGGGAAAAAAAGGAATCAATTTTTCCTTGAAGTAGGTATGGAAAGAGCAGATTTCCTTTTGGGCAGGTTTGACCTGCGTATTAGCATACAAATGTCAAGTAGTGAAATGGCCATAAATCTACTACAGAAGCATGGATTGAGAATCCTCAACCTAAAGATGTCAGTTGAATCTATACTCAGATGAGAATGGAAGAGACTACTTTGGGGAGGAAAGGAGATGGAGAAAATATTTTAGATTAGACCTGTAATCAACCAAATTTAGAGATAAAACAGGAAAACTCAGTGAAAGGGGAACAAGGTATTAGAAGACAAAGTTTTATAGGGGCCAACTAGACCTTGAGAGCAAGAGGAGAAAGTTATTAATTGGTTTCACATATATCATGATTTTATTGACTGGTAAGTAAAATTCTTTACCAAAGAATGAGTGTCTTGATTTGTTTGCTTTTATTTCATAGGAATCTGGCTTTATAGTGAGAGTTAATTTTGTTTTCAATATTCATTTTTCTCTCTTGAGCTGTCTGACTTTGGGACCTTTTGAGATGGTTTGGAAAAATTTTTTAAAGTAATATTTGTAAAATGCTTGGCTTAGTGCTTGGCAGGTAATAAAAGCTTAGTAAAAAGGGATGTTAGGATTTGGGAAGAGTGGTAAACTATATCTGTTTTTATCTGTGCCTGTTCTTACCAATTAGAGAAATAGACTGGAGGCCAGATAGCCAAGAATTGGAATACCAAGCAAAGGCCATGGGAGAAAAAACAATAGCTTAGTTCTACATACCTGGTGGTGTAGTATTGGGGATTGAACCCCAGGGCTTCTAACTTGCTAGGTAGGCCCTCCATCTCTGAGTCTTCTACCCTAGACCTTGTTTGCATTCTTAAATTAGAGAAACTTACCCACCCAGATGGTATTAGCCAGCCTCCCAACATGGCAGGTTACTCTTTAAATACATGGGGGAACGGAACCCAGTTAACATGTGAATCCTGGGAGGATGCCAGAGCTACCTGTGGCCAGCTGCTTCTTAGACAACTTGTCTGAGCCATTCCCTCTGCCTTGGGAAGGAATGAGGGAGGTGATGCAGAGAGATTCAGTGGGCTCAGTGAATGTAACTGAGAGTGTCAGTGTCTCAAAGCTATCTTCACCTGCACCCTGGAGAGTGATTTATGAGCGTTCTTATCCAGTGGGAGCCCCTGTCATAGGAGACCTGAGGGGGACTCATTCCATAAGAAATGTGATGTTATCGGGCTGGAACTGTAAATGTAAACTTCCTTCCAGTCCAGTCAAAAGAGGTTTTGTTCTGGGTGTGCTAGGATACATAAGTCCTATTTAGAGGCAGGGTCAAGTGACTGTCACTTGTATCTGTATTCATTATGATTGTTTCCTTGAAGTTTGCTTTTAGCACACAGTAAATAGTTACCTATATATGTATTGTATGTTGTAATAGGCTATACTGTACTGTAGTAATTGAGTACCTAAATTCTATGCTAAAAATGAGAATAATAGCAAAGTAAAACTTTTTCTTCTTAGTTTTCAAGATTAAAATTACATTTTAATAAGATTCTTTTGTTTAATTTATCATAGCAGAGTAGAAAGTAATAAAGACAGCTGGGCATGATGGCTCATGCCTGTAATCCCAGCACTCAGGAGGCTGAGGCAGGAGGATCGCTGAGTTCAAGACCAGCCTGGGCTACATAGTTCCAGATCAGTCTCAACTGCATAGACAAACTGCATTGAGACCCTGTCTAAAAAAAAAAAAAAAAAAAAGTAAAGTGAGAAAAAGTTACCTGACACAATTTGACAGTGACCTAAATGGCCTCATGTGCTTTGTATATAAGTATACTTGTAGACTCCTCTGTGGATTTTTGTGCTGTTTAAGTGTTTTTGTTTTTAACAGATGCAATTAAAAGCTTCAGAATTCTATCACAGTCATTTCCTTTTTTATCTGACAGTTTCCTCGTTTAGTTTTTGTTAAGTCTTAGATGTAAATGTGATTTTACAATAATGCGATCTAAGAATAACATGATAATATGCTGTAAAGGAGCAATTCCTTTCACTTCATTTTAAGGATGTAAATGCAGATACATCTAACTAGGTGATAAGATTCATTGATTGGATTGCATATTTACAAAATGTGAATGTAAAATAGAAATAAATTCAGCATGATAGGATAAAATGGGGTGTGGAAAACCAGGTTTTTTTAAAAAAAGTCCATCATATTCCTGAAATACAGACAAAGTATGTCTAAACTTTCAACAGAATAATCTGGAAAGAGTTGTGAAGAAGACAGAAGTGTTGATAAAGTAAGATTAGCCAAGAGAGGTAACTGTCGAAGCTGTGTGCCAGGTGTATAACAGAATGAATCCCCCTTTGGATAATATTTACTTTTCATCATTTATTTTTAATTTTCCTGTTTTATGTGGATTTTTTTAATATATACTTTGACACAAATATTTTTGGAAGTAGCCAATGTATATGGTTTACCAACAAGCATATTTTTAAAAAATGGCTAGGAATATTTTAGTTATGGAAGGTTCGAAATTTTTTTAGTGCTGGGCACTTGAATCTCCTAAATGAGATCAAAGTAAGAAGCTATGTGTTTGGCTATGTGCCAGGTTCATTTTACTGTTGGCTCTGTATACTTGAAGTTTCTGTAACAAAGAGAAAAAAGTCACTGGTTGTCAACAACAGTTTTTAAAAATAGGTTAGGAATTCTGAGTTTCTGAAAATTGGTATTTGCTAAAATTTTATAGCCTATAGAGAAACAAATTTTCTTTTCCTTTTAAAGTAAGTCAGAATAGCTTACTGTTTAGAAAACACTATCCTGTTAATTATAGGGAGTCAAAATAGAAAAAAAATCCTTGTATACAAAGAAAACCGTAAGAAAATACATGTAAGTCCTGTGCCAAATGTATTTTAAAGCAATAAAGTTATTCATATCAAGTAGCTTATTAAAATGTACTTATAATGTTTCCTCTGATTCATCACTAATTTTTATTCACCTTAAAAGTCATATTGTTATTTTTAAAAATTTAAAAATATTTCTATTTGTGCCTATTAATTTTACGAAATACTGAGTTTCAAGTGTGGTGTTTTTATATATGTGTATAATGTATTTTGAGCATATCCATCTCCCCATGACCCTTTCTTATATTTCTTCCCTCACTCCCCTCCCTTTATTCCTTTCCTCTTATCAAATAAGAGTTATCTTTCTTTCTTTGGTGTGTGTGTGTGTGTGTGTGTGTGTGTTTATGTGTAAAATTCTAGAAATAAAGATACATTGTTTAAAGTTCAGGGACAGAAGAGACTTCATAACTTGTAGAACACGGAGCTATAATGAAGTTGGTTCCTTTGTAGGTTACACCAAAAACATAAGTTTTGTATGGTTTAACTTATATAAAATATTGTAAAGTATTGTCTTTAGTCTTTGTTAAAAAATAAAATGAAATCTCTGGTCTTGGGGTTACTGTAAAATGTATATGGAGCCTACCTATGGAGAAATACACGGAGCTGAACATGTTCCCACCAACTTGAACCACTGGCGGTACGTGCATGACTGTCCCATCTGGCACCTGGTGGTACAAACTGATCTAATCACTTGTATCAGCCTTTTTAATAAAATTAATAAAAAGTCACCTGATGGGATAGTTACACATGTACCAGTGGTAGTTCAAGCCAGCTGACAGTAAAACACTGATGGCCCCATCCTGAACATGTTAAGTACATTAGAGGTAACCTTATCTGTACTTTTGGAGTTAAACACTTTTAACATGTTCATGATGGACCATAATAAGTATGTCTCCATGCTGGGTAACTCATTTGAATTTGATTGTTCCGGCCAGCTTGAACATTGTTGGTACATGCATGACTGTCCCATTGGGCAGCTTGTACTATTTCTCAGAGGGTCTTTGATTAGAAGAATGCAAAAAAAAAGGCATTGATTTAGCAGACCAGCTGTCACTATATTATAATTCATAAATTAAAATGCTATAGCTTTAAAAAGTTAATATGCAGCTAATTTGTTGTATAGCAGTTGTTAAGGGTACATTACATATACCAGCAATGGTACCTGTAAGATTTCCTTTTTAAAATTTAGCAAATTATTGAACTTTTTATGAGTATATATTTCTTTGAATTTAATGAAGTAAATAAATGTTTTATTATAGTAATTTTAATTGATATGAATAGTGTTAATATTGACGTTTGGGCAGTAATTCTTCACATTCAATCAACTTAGATTTGGTCCATTTGTAGACATTTATTAATGTTAGTAAAAAGAGTGATAAAAGTGATTAGATGTCTTTGTACCACGAGTGGTTTAAGCTGCCTGATCAGAAGGTCATGGATGTATCACCAGTGGTTCAAGCTGGTGGGAATGTATTAAGTTTAAAATAAATGTTATACAGCTGTCAGGACTAATATTGTCCGGTGTATTAAATCCGTATTTCATAACCAGAATCATTAGAAACAGGAATGTTAAAAAACAGAAAATATAGGGAATATATGAATAGGTAGGGCTGACCCTTACCTAAATGTTTTTATGTCACTCAAAAGCATGTTTAAATGAGGCTCATCTGGATTTTAGGATTTTTCTGAGTGTTTAGGTTCATACAGCCAAGACTGAATCTTTTTCCACACTGGATCCAGTTGGTTTTTAGTGAAATTCAGGTATTGTTCTGGTGATTTTTTAGGATTGAAAGGTTCGTTCCTAGAATAGCAGACATTGTTGGAAGTGAAAGAATATAACTGAGTTCTTGACAGGGAATGCCAGTGATGTGAAAGAGTTTCTAGAACTAAGCTGGATAAAAAGACTAATATGATTTTTATTTCTTAGATTCTTTATAATTCCAAAAACCTTTATTTATCCCCCCCCATTAAGTTTATTGCTACATTTAAAGCAAACAATAGAGTTACATTTATCATTGGGATCTTGTACCTTGACCTGATATGTCTTGGTTCTTATTTTTTCCCCATACCCTTGCCCTCCCTTCACCCCTTCACCCTTCCCTATTTACAAAGACTTTGTTTCCATTTTCCCAAAAACCTTTAATAGGTTTTATTTTCCCTCACTCCCTTTGTAGAAACTCTTAGGCTTAGGCCTCTGCTCTGTCTGAACTCCCTCCCCTCTATCCCTAGCCCAAGTTTGTACCCAAGGTCCAAAGTCATGACCTAACTCCTTTTGTTTGCAGAGATATCCTTCACTCTGTGGCCAGCACCTTCCATTCAGGCCACCTTCCTCACTTATAACCCCCAGCAAACTGTGTAACCTCTTAGCATGCATTATTCAAGCTTTTGGATATAAAACATTGAAAATGGTCGCTAATATAATATAGTAGATATTATTCCAAAAGACTCTAAATGTCATCTATATGAGCCTTCATTCTGTCTTTTAATAGGCTAAACTCATTTGCTTAGAGCTTTGCTCTGCTCCAAGTCCCATTTTGTTTTGATGTCAGCTAAAATGTAACTTTGTGGCTAACCAGTCATAGAGCCACATGACTAGTATTTTATTTTCTTCATATCCCCTTTAAATTGTTTTCTTTGCTTACCCTCTCCCAAACAGTCTCCCTGAGTGCAGGAACTTAAGTAGTCTAAATCACTCACTGTACCTAATTGAGTTAAGTGCTGACCTATAGTTTAACAAATGTTTACTGAGTAAATCTAGTACAATGGGAGCTGAGAGACCCTTCCTTTCCCTGACTTGAATTTGGGCAGCATCCCAGGGCCAGTCCTTCTTCCACTGTAACTTAATCAGAGTGAACTCTAGAACAAACACACTTGTTAAAAGCCCCTAACTCAGGATGACTCAGCACTCTGTTAATCATTCTAGTCAGTCTTACCTAGAAACCCAGTGAGAGGTGCCTGAGTTGGAGTGCACTTCCTTAGAAATCCAAAAGCCTGATTTATCTGTATGCTTTTGGCTTTTCCTGTCCTCCTAGCACCGCTTTTCTGTTCATGCCACATTTTTGCTTCTGACACTGATCTTCCCTGAGCACGTTTTTCCTATTATTTTCCATAAGTATAGCTGCTTTTCTTTAACCATTGGATGTATGCTTGCAATTCTTTGCTTACTACACACAAAAGCCTGGACTCTACCTGTTAGATCTTTCCCATGGTATAATTTGGCAAGCCAGACAGGAGTTGAACATAGAATCTTCTGAGAGTGAACTATTTTGAAAGAGATGCAGAACAGGCAGAATTTTATATATTTCAACGCCTAAGGGATGATGTCTTGTATCTGTTATTACTTATTCATGTTCAAATTTACCAGTGCCAGAAGTAGGATTTGAACTTGGATTCTTTTATACTGTTTTAGTTTCTACTCTCTGTACAGTAGTTAGGGCCAGGTCTAGAGCAGTAGAAAAAGTAATTTTTAGCTGAATGATTCCAGTGTGGTTCTTTGAAGTTATTTTTATTTCAGGTTTCAGTACAAGGTTGGGAAAAGCTTAAAGAAGAGGTTTTGTAATGGACCAATAGATATATGCTCAAAGATTTTTAAATTAGTCTTGAAAGTCTATGCTAAAGTTAAGTGAAAAACCCTATGTACTACTGCAGGTGTACAGAGTGGGAGATATTGGGCATGGCCTGACCATTGGGGTTGGTGAGAAAGACACGGGGAGACTGTTGTGAGCCCTGATAGGTTGATGTGCCATGCAAGGCCTATGCCTGTAGGGCCTGTGGAAACCTGAGGAGCTGACTGCCCAGATTCCTCTGCAGTCTACAGGCAGAGATCGACTACACATTAACACTGATAACTGAAGGAGGCAAAATTTTAGATGTTACAACAACAACATTTGGAAAGGGGATATCTAAAAAGAGAATTCCAGGAGTAAAGAAATTAAGAAAAATAAATATTTTTAGCACTGCCTAAATGAATATGGTTATGTTTTATTTTGGTTTGTTTTTAGATATTTGAAAAAGATTCTTGATAATTTATTTTCACAGGATGGGAAACTCAGTTTCAGGTGGGGTGTAAAAAATGTATTTCTCTGTACTGTATTAGAACAGGCAACAAGAAAGTGTGGGCTCTAGGGCTTTTGCATTTATATATCTATAGGAGATAGGACTAAGCAGACAAGAGACTTACCAGGTTCTCTGATATATTTGGTATAAGTAAACATTGCTAACTTTAAAAAATTGTGATGTTTCTTCAGGCTGTTAAAGTATTTACTCGTGGTGTGACCTCTGTGGTCCTTTGCCATGGGTTAGTTCTGTTTGTTCTGTGAAAAACAAAGAAGAGCTATGTGTATGCGTGATGGCTTTAGCAGACAGAGACAACTATATAAAATACTGCCTTAGAGTTTTCTTTTTAATAGATTGTGCTTTTTGTATGATTTAAATATCAAACAGTGTAAAAGGATATATAGGATAAAGTTGCTTTCCTATTCTTGTCCCTTAATCACTGTATACTTACTATTTCTAAATTCTTATTTATCCTTCCATAGAATGTAGGCAACCATGTGCCCTCCCCCTTACACCTTTTAAACCTATATGTTGCCTGTTCTCCTAGAATGGTCCTCAGCATGTAATAAATACAACCAAAGTCAGTTTTTATAGTTTTGTATTTACAGAAATGTACTAAGAATAGACATGTTTTGTTCTGTGAAGCTTTAAACAGTGTATAATTTTTTTTAATTTGTTTTTAGCCCCCTGTGCTGTCAGGAATCTACAGGACTTGGCTCGTATTTACATTCGACGCACACTTAGAAATTTCATAAATGATGAGATGCAGGCCAAGGGGATTCCTCAAAGGGCTCCACCCAAGAGGAAAAGAAAGAGAGTTAAGCAGAGGATTAACACTTATGTATTTGTGGGTAACCAGCTTATTCCTCAGCCTCTAGACAGTGAGGAGGATGAGAAAATGGAAGAAGATAACAAAGAAGAGGAAGAGAAAGATCACAGCGAAGCCATGAAGCTGGAGGAGCCACCTCAAAATTTACTGAGAGAAAAAATCATGAAGCTGCCTCTCCCTGAATCTTTAAAAGCTTACTTGACGTATTTTAGAGACAAATAAATCAAGGAGAAAAAATACCTGCTGATACTCCTTTAGTCTTGAAAATGTAGCATTTATTAGGGGTTTAAAGAGAGAATTATTTCTTTGATCAGAGTGAATTATAGTGGAAAAAAGTATAACTTGTCAGTAACAAAAACAATGTATTCATTGATTAAAATGAATATCTCTTTTATAAAATCTATTTTTCTTTAAATCTTGGAAAAATGCTGTTTTAACTCAATGATTTCAAAGTGGAATGCAACAATAGTCAAGACTTTGTGTACTATAAATCCTTTTCTGATTCCTTACAGACTTGTAGTGGTGAGGGTTAGATTTAATTTTCTATAAGATTTAAATAATTGTTAAGCATATATAAGTTGAATTGCAGTTTTTGGTGTTTCCTCTATGAAAACTTTCTTATCTAATAAGGAAATCAGATGCTTTGTAGACCTATTTACACTTTTGTTTTAATCACTCTTGCTGAATTGCTGTAGATATATTCCGGGCAATATATGAGTGCAATAATAATACAATATATTGAATAATTTAGCTTTAAAAAAGTACATTTAATGAAATTTTACAGCCCTGCAACTTTTGCTTTTGAATCTGTTGCCAAAAGACATGGGGAAAATACTTGCTTCTCTTATAAAGATTTAAAGAGCACAGCAAGTGAAGTAGGAAGTCTATACTTAATACAACTCTTAATTTGTATGGACCCTTTACATTTTCAGTATTTAAAAATAATGAGGCTGTCTTAATTCTCTGGAATTTTAAAAGATAGTGTATTTAGGTTTTTTTTTTTTCCTGTAGTTCACTGTATAAAATACTTCGTGTAAAACGATCGTTGTCCTGTCTGACTGATAGTGTAGAGTGTGTGAAGGGATGAGCACGAATGACTACCACCTTCTTGGGAGCTCTGCGTTGCAGAGCATATGTGGTCAGCTGATGCACTTTAGCACGTGAGACTTATAGTTTATCCGAATATTTATCTTCGACAGGGTAGGGCTGAGCTTGCCTACATTTGCTTTGGATCTTTCTGTTATAAGAAACAGTCACAGAAATTGTGTGTAGACACCTTTGTGTTAAACATCAGGTTCAGAATTATAGTGTAATATTTGGGACCTACACCATGTTCATTTAACTTACCGTATTTTTTGGTTTATTCATTAAAATCGTAGTGGTTCTCATTTTTGCTTTATGTTAGTTACATACTTTTACATCACACAGCTTATCAGTGATAAAACCAGGTAGTAAATGTCATTATAAGGATTTTTTTTTTCTTAGTAAGACCTGAAAACAAGTCATTCCTTGTTAAGAAAGCATACAGTATAATGTATTTCTACTTAGTGTCATAGATCATATATTTTTTAAAGGGAAATATTTGGAACTGTCACTGTTCACCGGCATCACCGTCACTGTAGTCATTCAGATATGCTCAAGGAAACTCAGTCATTGTGAGTGAAAGAATTCTCTCTTTACCTGGACTCAGACACCATTTCAGCAGTCTCAGCTCCAGTAGTTCCATACATCTAAAACAGTTGTTTGAAATAGTCTAAATATGATATTACACCACATAATTGAGGCTATTTTAGTAATGTGAAAGATAATTTCAGGGAACATGTTTGTCTTAAACCCATGGCTGGGGTAGTGGTGGTATGGAATAAGAGTGTCTGTGATTTTTTTTCTGAGGTAAATATTAAATCATTATCATCAAGAAAAGCCCTCTCTCATCTGTCTAAAAAAGAAAATAGTTTCATACTTCTGTCATACATTTTGGTAGACATGTCCCTTTGATTTTGAATCTGTTTCAGAAGTTTAATTCTGAATACTGGTGCCCCTGTATTTTTATCTAGAAAACCTAGGTGGAATTTTCATCTTATTTGCCCCCCATTTCCATTTTTTTTGTTGTTGTTGGAGCTAGTGTTCAGGTATGTAAAAATAGATATTCTGCAATGATGATTTTACTATTTAGGAGAGTTTTTGTTAAGGATATATTTGAAGATTGACATTTCCATATTGTCTTTTTCATTCTGTTGACCTTGGCAAATTGTACAGATTTTCATGATCATTGCGTATTTTTTGTCATTCAAATGTATCTTTTGTGTTTCTAAATGCACTTATTTTACAGGTGTGACTTTATCAGTGACTTTAAATAAAGAGGTAGTAATAAAAATTCAAGTGAAGGTTTTCTCTATTAATGCAGATATATTGGACTAAGGTTACTTTGGGTTTTAATTTTTTTTAAAAAATTTACATTTACTAGTATGGAAAATTATGCTCTACAGTAAAGATATGGAAAATAAAGTAAAAGGAAGTAAAAATGAGGGATATCATTGGAATTTTATAGATACATAAAACATTAGATATCATTTAATTTAGGCCTTTATTTTGTTGACAAGATAGGCCTCAAGTCATGGCTTATTTTACCTAAGTCACACAGCTTGTTGAAGACAGTGTCTGAAATAGCATCTACCATCAGATTAGTCCCAAGAATCTGTCAACACCACCATAGCTACCAAGAAGATAATCTGAATCTATACTGCCTGTTAGTTGATATATTTGGTTCTAGTATTAATAAAGAAAAATGTTACTAAAATAACATACATAGTGATTAAAATAAAATACCAAAATGTGTTGATTTCTGTCTGTTTGAGATGAAAGTGAAGGAAAGCCTGTTAAATTATTGGAAGACTTGGAAAATTATTTAAAATAAACAATCACATACTTAAGCATAATTCTTCAGTGATCTGGCTTTTCTTTTTCTCTTTTTAAATTTAAACGTTCTCATTGCATCCATGGATATATGTTAGATTATGGGATACAGTTGTCTGTGTGGACACCTTCCTTTTGATTTTTGCCACCTCTGAAGATTATAGAGATGTTGATACTATAATTATTTTGGTGGTACAGAGGACTGAATCTAGGGTTTTTGCACTGAGGTGTATCCTCAGCCCTTTTATATTTGAGAGAGTATCTCCCTATTTCCCTAGGTTGCCCATGCTGGGTTTAAATTTGAGATCCTCCTGTGTTAGCCTAATACCTCCCTGGGACTATAGGTTTGTACCATCATGTCAGCTAAAAACTTTATTTTAACATTTCAGTAGATACGAAGGATATTTACAAAATGTATTTGAAGTATGAGGAATAATAATTCGGTACACCTGTAGGTACATGTGTACCTACTGGTAGGTTCAACTCTTAGCATCACCAGAATTTGGATGCCCTTTCCGGATGTCATTTAATCCCTTTTTGGGTAAATGTTTATTGTGACATTGCTTTTTGCTGTCATTTTACCATTTTTTAAAAAAATTAATTTCATTGGTACATGTAAGGTATATAATATAATGACAATCACTGGAAATTTGCACCTTTACATAATCAATCTTGATTATTTTTTCCCTATCCTCCTGCTCTCCCTCCAGCCCCTCCCTCCCTCTCTATCTACAAAGACTTTATTTCCATTCCCCTCCTTTCCCATACCCCTTCCACTTCCCCTTTCTATTTCACATTATTATACCTTTTAGTCCTTATTTACACTTTTAAGTTTTCACTAGATCATTTTACCACTTTTGAAGTTACATTTTTAGAAAATATGCTCTGGGTGATTACATTCTAATCCATTCACCTAAATTTATCAGTTTAGTTAACTCTCCTATCCTCCTTAGAGATAACAAGGGACTCTAACTTTATAGCACTCTACCTCAAAATTCTATATGAATGCATTATGTGTTTTAATTCTGGTATTTTTGGCCACATTTCAGTTACCTAACCGATGCTTAATTAGATTTACTCCAATTTACACTTGTGTTTTGCTCCTTACTCGTTCCTCAAATCATTCCAATTTCCTTTTGCCTACAGTACATCCTTTTGAATTTCTCTTAGGGAAAGGCTTTAGGTTGCTAACTCTTAGTTTTGTGTGAGTAAAAAATTTTTTTTTGCTTTTGTTTTCTTTTTTAATGTCTATTGGCTATACAGATTTGAATGTCAGTATTTTCTCTAGAGGAGTTAAGGTTTCCTTGTGTTCTAGCTTGCATTGGAGCTGTTAAGTCACCTAACAGCTGTTTTAAAATTCATCTCTTATCTTTGCTTTAAAGATTTTGTCTTGACCTAGTTAATCCTTTGTAGTTTCATATAATGGGTTTAGGCGTGAATTTCTTTTCATTTTCTCTCCCTAATAACTTGTATTGCAGCTGTGTGAGTTGGTCTTTTTTATCAGTTCTTGATAATCTTTGCCACTTTTTTAAAATAAATAATGTCTCAACTTTTTCTTCTTAAGCACTGAACTTTAGATAATTTCTTCAGATTAATTTTCTGATGACTAATTTTCTTTAAAATTGCTTTAAATACGCTGTTAAACCATTATATTGAGTTTTACTATCTGTTCTATTTTCATTTCTACTTCTGCTTTTTCAGATCTGTTTTTATTTTGAGACAAGATATTTCTTACTAAATTGTAGTATCTGAACTCTGAGGCTTCTGCTCTTAATGTTTCTGTGGCTGGCATGTATAACTGTTTTTTACATTTTGTGTGTTTTGCTGGCATTTATTACTTTCTTTGGTATCTTGTGGGAATTTTATTAGCTGCTGGAGTTGTTGCCCAGCCATGACCTCTAAATCCTCACTTTAAAGTCTTCTGGACTAGAGAGGTAGAATGGTCTGAAAATCCATTTGAAGGCTACTTTGGAAATAGCACACCTCCAGCGAGACATTATTCCTTGCCTCCACAGGGAGATTTTGAAATATGCAGTTTGTTTTTGGCATTCTCTGAGGTGAACAGAGTGGTAGACAATTGTGGGAATGGAGGTTATCTCTAGTTTACCCTTAAGGTACAGCTGTGGCTTTATGTAAGATTTTCCATTTAGGAAGGGGCCTTTTCCCTATACCTTGCTACCACCCGGTGAAGTTCATTTCGCTTGGAAAAGCTGTCAAGCTGAACCAACCTTGGGTATATACTTAACCTCAAGGGCTTCTCATTTCATTTTGTTTTTTGGACTCTTGTGCATATTTTACTAATGTCTTAGTAAAATATGTCTTATCAATGTCTTATCTGGCACACTTCTCAGAGAGCTGTACGGAGGCACAATCAGGAGGATACTAGTTATTAGCAGGTCCGGTCATGGGTGCGATGTCCAGTACCCTGTAATTCTTAGCCTTGTTCTCGGTTGCTAATCAGTTGTGTGTGTGTGTTTTTAATTCAACATCATATTATGTCTCTACAGTGGAAAGATTTTGTCTTTTTCCAAGTCAGACACTGGCAAGAGCATAATAATTCTAAATAGCATTAAAAGGAGCAAAAGTAGCTTTTTTTGGATTATTGGTATACTTAGGCAGTAAAAGATATGTGCAGTGGCAGGCATACGTAAAAGTTTATTTTTAAATCACTCTTGTTCATCAAGATTGTTTCTCCAGATCTTTCTGTATTTTAATTCAATGAATACCACACATATAAATGAACATTTTGCCAAAAGAGGGCAGTATTCACCTACAGCAGGATGTAAAGAGGCTGAAAAATTACTACAAAAAGGATGAATTTATTTTTCCTCCTAAGGTTGATAAAATTTGACAATACTCTCCCTACTCAGTAGATTGGTCTTTCAATCTGGTCATAAGATTCACTACCCACATTTTAATTTTTCGATTTTATATTTTTAAAACCTTTGAAAAAAATTTTAAAAACCCGCTTTCAGAATAATTAAAAAGTGGATGTTTTAACTGTAGTTAAAACATTTTAGTGTTCTGCTGTGCAGAAACATTTTCCCCCAAAGGGGCTGCTCATCTCAGCGAACTGTGGCCAGGGGAACCTGCAGATGCACAGCACTCTCTATCCATCACCTGCTCTGTTCAGGTTCTCACACAAGTTGTCCATTGGTTGTTTCCTAATCAAGCAAGTACGTGAGCAAATGATCTTAGACATTAAATATTAAGGAAATCAAAAGTAGATGTATTGCATCTTACATAAGTGAAATGTATTGGGTTTAGGAGTAGATAGATTCTAGCAAGAAGTGAAACTTTCAAACCATGGTTTAGAAGGAAGGAATATGTGTATCTAGATGAACTAATTAGAACTGCCTGCCCTTTAGGATCTGGCAATGTTACCAGATAAAAAGAAAAGCTGTTCTGCATGGATTCAATAAATACTTAATCAACATGAGCTTCAAAAGGACAGCTTGAGGCTAAGAGACTGGGGCTTACAGAAAACATGCAGTGGAAGCAACTTTGGAAAAGTTTTTATTTGCATTCTACTGCTGAAAGAGGCTTTTGCACTCAACAAGCTTCTCATCCTGTCTGTCCCTGGGAGTCTAGTGCCTCCTAGAGCTGTAGCGCCCTCAGCCCTGTAACGTGATCTTGCTCCTCCTGGATTGGTCAGGGGGTGCCTTTTCTCTGGGATCTGCTTTCAGCCACTGCTCCCAAGCCTGGCTCAGCCTAGCCCCTATCATTTGCACCGCACAGCTGCTGCTGCTGCTGCTGTTGCTGGTATTCTGCCTGTGGCTTTGCCTCTGCAGCATCGGGTGGAGTGATGGAGCCCAGACTGCTCTTTTGGACCACCTGCTTCCTCGTGGCCAGCTGGTGCCTGCCGATGCTGCCCTGCCCTAGCCGGTGCCTTTGCTTTAAGAGCACCACTCACTGCATGCACTTGATGCTGGACCACATCCCTCAGGTACCACAGCAGACTACAGTCCTGTAAGTGCACATTGCTTCTCAGCTGGGACTGAGTTTTTTTCTAACTTAAGGTTCCTGATGCTCTGCTTATCCAGTTGGAAGAGGTTTTTCACTTTAGAAACTTAATGGTTCTGGGCTGGTAGACTGAAAAACGTGAGCCATGATGAGGTGACATAAATAAATTTGTTCTGAGTGCATTTCCCTTTCCAATACTTTCCAGAACTTACCATTGAGAATTCTCATCTAAATTCTTCTCCAGTAATTTTCTTGCAGTGAACTCTAACTTTTTTCCTATCCTTTTCTCCCAAGTCCTTTGGACTCCTAATTGGGTCAGGCTGTGACTACTCCACTTGGAAAAAAATCTTATTTCAAAATGCGGTTCTGATTGATTATGTGCTGGTCTGTGCCTTCTAGGAGCATGATGTCTTTGCTTTCAGCACCCGGGACACTATGTGTCCCCAAACAGGCTGGCAACTGGTCCGGGAAAGCTTAGTATTTTTAAGTACTTCCTGAGCAGCTACTTAGACTAATTGTCATCTATGAGGCATTATGATATGTTAGAATAAATCAGAATTTAGAAGTTAAACACAAGTTCAAATCCTACCTCATTCTCTATATTTTATTTTGTTTTTTGGTACCAGGGATCGAACTGAGGACCTTATACTTGCAAGGCAGGCAGCAGAACCACTGAGCTAAATCCCCAGCTCACTCATGCTCTTTAATATGGAGATTACATATACTGTATATTTAAACTGCAAATATTTATATAAATTGATTTAGATTAAGTTAAATAACATTTATTAGATAACTAGAGAATTAGGATAAAATTGAAATTTTATCCTAATTTATAAACCTTATGCCATAAGAGGAAAAAAAGGAATAATACTGAAAGATCATTCAGATCCGAGGGCTTTACTGATCCATGATGAAGGTTTTACAGATTGTGTAGTGTTTGTGTAATATAGAACTGCTTTCAGTGTTCCAGTTTATTTCTGGACAGAGGAAGTGGCCTACCATCCCTGGAATTTGGAGATACTAATGTTTAAGATCATCACTATACATTTTTCAATCCTAATTATGAAGTACGGAGGTAGTTTGGTAATGAAAACTTCAAGTTGCATAGAAAATGACCTGTATGGTCTGTAGATTTTCATGATTGCAAAGCATTTTTAAATTTTATTTGTATGGAAATACTAGTCTTACTGTAAAATAAAAGGACAAATTATTGGACATTGGTGCCATTACGTGGGGCTGTGCAGGACAGTTCTAGAAGTGCCTTCCTACTCAGACCCATCCATTTGTCATCTTGTACTTGACAGTTTTCTAACTGATAACAAGAAAATCTTAGAGAAAGGGCAGCTTGTCTGATTAAGTGCCACAAAGTTAAATGCTGCCAAAGGTGCGATTTTGACCTAAATTTGGTTTCTAGTGGAAGTAGCATACATTTCCAAAGATAATGAACAGAACTGAAAAGACTGTCAGCCTCGTTGGGAGAAACCTTCAGTATGCGTTAAAAACAAAGCTGAATGGTTGGGTGCTTAGGCTCTGAGCCAGATGCATGCCTGTGAGTAAGGTGCCACTACATATTCAATATGTGTTGCTTTGGCTACTTCTTCACTTGGTATCTGATTTCATAATCTGTAAAATGAAGATTCTGATAGTGTTCACCCTACTGAAGATTGAATTCATGCATTTTAAATACTTGGAGAATTACGTAGTCCTGGGAAGTGCTATAGAGTTTTAGCTATTGACAAATTAAGGGCCAGAGTTACAAGCTCAGACACCTGCAGTAACCTGTGATGATTTGAGGGATGTAGCATGCATGGAAAACCAGTGCCTGAAGAAAATAAAGGAGAACCACTGGCCTCGACTTGGGAGTGTCTGTGGACAGAGGGGGTGTGATGAAAAGAGGCACATATGGATAATACATCTCTATGGCTTTATCTTTACACATACTGGAAGGGTCCTTCCGGCCATCCTGACAGTATCATCTCAGTTCTGTTCATTACTTTGGAAGTGCATGCTACTTCCGTTAGGTGCTGCTCTCTTCAAACACCTCCTTAGCTGACTGATGCCCTATGACAGTTTAGCCCCATTCATGATCTTGCCATAATTTTCAAGAAAATACAGATATCAAAAATGAAATTCCTAGCTTTTAAATATTAGTGCTAAATATGTTTCTAAAAAACAAAAGCAAAAATGTCCAAGTCCAATCTTAAATGTTTCTAGGTTGCTTTTAGTGCAGGCCTTTCAGTTTGTGACCTCTATTAGAGAAATGGTATAAAAGCTGAGAAAAGGTGGAAAGTACTTTGGCTCCATCACTTTTTTAAGCTAAAAATCCTTGACATAGGGTTATATTTTTATGGAAGCAATTTCATGAAGGACCACCACTGACCCCACAAATCCTGAGAGAAAGCATTTTTTGTTTGTTTTGGAGACAAGATCTCACTATGTAGTTCAGGTTGGTGTTGAACTCACTATGTAGCCCAGGCTGGCCTCAGGCATGTAGCAATCCTCCTACCTGAGCCTCGCAAGTGCTGGGATTACAGGACTGTACCACTGTGCCTGGATCTCAGATCAACCTTTGAAAGGTAAGGTGAGTGAAGCCTGGGTGAATTTCTCCCAAACAGCAGCATCAGTAATTTTTGTTAAGCCCCAATTAAATATGATGCATTGTCACCATAAATAACATGGAAGAAATGTAAACAACATATTTAGCATTATAAACAGCCAAAGGGCTTAGTAAATGCTAAATAGTATTTTTTCTTTGAATTTTCATCTTTACATGTTTTTAACACTTTAAATATTGAAAATATTTTCCTCAAAGATAGGAAAACAGCTATTTTTAGAAGATTTATTATGGTAAATCAGGATTTTAAGAAAAACTCAAAACTATGTCCCTAATTTTAATTTAATTTCAACTGTAAAACAATAGTATTTTTAAAGTTAACATCATTTAAAATTAAGTTATTGCCTTTACAAAATGTTACTCTATCCTGTATATTTTAGTAAAGAAAATATTTTAGAGTTTGAATTTGCAAACTATAAATTTCTAGCAATGTGCAATCTTGTTAGGGAGTTGATTCTGTGTGGTTAATTTGAGCTGATTCCACTCTGTCCCAGTATCATTAAGTTATAATTTTTAAATCTTAATTACTGGTAGGAAATAAGATCTTCAATAGCCGATACAGGAAATCGGCTGAGACTATGTCTGTAGGCCAGTGAATGTATAAAGACAGTGTGGCTTATAAACAATGGAATGTTATTCAGCCACAAAAATGGATAAATTCTTGTCATTTGAGGCAACACAGATATTGCTGAGGACACTATGCTGAATGAAATAAACCAAACACAGAAAACAACCAATCTCACCTATGTGTGGAATCTAAAAAAAGTTGACTTCATTGAAATAGAGTAGAATAGTGGTCATGATAGGTCATTAGGTCATTCTTGGGGCGGAGGGATAGAGGAAGGTTGGACAAGTGGACCAAAATACAGTTCTGTAGGAGTTCTAATGTTCTATAGCACATAAAGGTTACTATAGTTCACAATTTATGATATATTTTATAAAGAACAGATACATTAAAAGACTTCCAATAGGAGTTAGAAATGTCTGGAGCAATGCAACAAATAGTTGCTTTGATTTGATCATTACAGATTGTATAATGTATTATCATACTATATCATAAATATGTACATTGATTAATTGCAGTACTAGGGATTGAACCCTGGGCTTTGGCATTGAGCTACACCCTTAGCCCATTGTGTTATTTTTTTTTAAATCTGCTTTTCATTTATTTATTTTTGTGTGTGTGGTACCAGGGATTGAACCCGGGACGTTGTACTTTGTGAACCAGGAGGTGGAACCACTGAGCTAAATCACTCACTGGCCCCCATTTTTTTTTTAAATTTTGAGACAGTATCTTGCTTGGTTGCTAAGTTGGCCAGGTGAGGGTCCTCCTCCTCACCTTCTCAGTGCTGGGATTACAGGCATGTGCCACACCACCGTCTGGCTCTAAATTCTTTTTCTAAATAAAGAAATGTGTTCTTAGAATTCCTAGGAATGGGGCGATGGAGACTCAGATGAACTTTGTGACTACACATCAAACAATTTAAAAACCATATGGATTACATTAGAAGAATTTATAAACGTAGAACTGTTTTGATGATGGAGGATTCGCCTGAAAGTTAAATGCAGAAGTATGTAGGACTGGGGCTGGAGCTCAGTGTTAGAGAGCACTCTGCTGCCTTCTGAGAGGTCCTGGGTTCCATCCACAGCAGTGCAAACAACAAACCCAGTATGTCCATTGTGAAATATTAAACATTTAATTTAAAGGCATTCTCTTTGTGTAGAAATCTTGTCCTTGTTCTCTAAATAATACAAAACTCTTGGGGGAATGGGAAAATGACTTCAATGTAGCTTTTAAAAAAGTGTATCCAGCTAATAAAAATTTCATTTTGTTCAAGAAATAGGCTTCCTTCGGTTCTTTTTTCCAGACATTTTGTCTTTTAATCTAACCCTCAGAGGTTGCTTTGACCTTTGAAATGGAATTTTTCTTTACTGACCTGTAACTCACTGGCTTTAAATTATCCCTTGTGCCCGTTCATCTTAATTGTCCACTTGACTGAATTAAGAGACTCCTGGAAGGTGATTCTATCATGAGGACGTGACACTCATCACTAGGTTATCCACTGATGTCCATAGCTGAAATGTGCTGCTGAGAGATGGGACCCACAGCTGTGGAGAGAAATCTCTTGCTTGTGTTCTTGCCTTGCTCTGCTTGCTGCCTTCAGAAGCTAAGCAGCTTTGCTTTGCCATGCTTTTCCACCTGATGTCCCCACCTTGGAGCTAGCTGACCATGGACTGAATCCTCTGAAACTTAGCAAGAATAACCCTCTCCTCCTTTAAGTTGTGGGAATCAGGTGTTATTCAGGTGCTGGAAACAGCAAAGGTGACCAGTGTGTCCCTGAGCAGTACTGAACAAGCCTGAGCTCCCTTGCCCCCCTCTTCGCCTTGCTTG